TGTTGTCCTCACCATTTTGATAGAGGGCTAGTGTTTCGTGTTTGGTCGAGGGGGAGGGTTTCTTACTCGATTGTTCAACCTCTCAACGAGAGCACCAAATGATGGATAGTCTACCCGAGGGTATATATCCGAAGGGTTATTACGGGGAGTAATTTAGAGAGAAGTCAGAGCAAGTAAATAAAAGTAGAGAGAGTGTATTCAATATGAATGCCGTTTTCAGCGTGTTCTGACCCGGTTACAAATGGGGAAAAGGGGTGCTATTTATAGTAGCAATAAATGTCGGGCAGAGACACGTGTCAAGCGCTCATTGGCCGAGGGGTCACCTCAACTGGTTGGCGCTGGCAGCCGCATGTGGCCGCATTTAATGCGGCTGTTGGATGGGACGTCTGTGCGGGGTACGGTGATCTGTACGCATGTGAGGCGGATATCTTGTCGAGTGAGATGCCTTCGGCTATAGAGCAGTAACCGAGGGCTCTTCCACCCGATGGCACCCTGGTGCCGAGGGCTCACAGTGCCGAGGGCTACTGTTTTCGCCGTTTTCTCCCAGTTTCTTAATTTGCTTGAGAAACCCGCTCTGTGAGAATTTGGAGCCTTCGGCCAAGGGGCCGAAGGCACCCCTGTGCGTTGTGCGGACTTCTTGGTACTCTGGGCCCTGTGATTTGGGCCTGTTGGGCCTTCGCTGGGGTAGTAGGAGTCTGTGGACCGGGGGTTCCCGGGCCATATACTCCATCAGTATGAGTCCAACAATATGATCTCAAATCAGCCCTGGAATAATTTATATTTATCTTCGATTAAGACAAAACAAGAGTTTTTCATTGTGTCCAAAACAAATTCAAAATGGGCCCATAAACTCTCTTACTTTACAATCTCAGTTCTCAAAAGTGAGAACTTGCAAACTCAAAAGCTATTCACAAAAACCTGAAAACTGAAAGACATGTTTTTTACGGTTTTAACGGCGCGCCGCCCGGCGGCTCTAGTAATCTAGTTCGGATGTTCCTCTTCTAACTTCATTGGTCAATTTGTCGGCTATTTCAATTTTCAAATGCAGCAACGATATAATTTAACAAAGGCATACCTTTTATATGTAAAAATACATATAATACATATAAAAGGAAAATAGCTAAAATATTGGGCCCCTAAATTTTTGACTTTTTTGGGGCCTTGAGGCCCATGCCTCAGTGGCCTCACAGTAAGCACGACTTTGCCAGTGACATGTTGTCCAAGTAACCGGCCGCCGCTAGGGACTTGCTGTTACTGTTACCAGTGACTCAATCGCTGCCTGTGATCACACCGTCTAGCGTTGTTCGAGTGATAGTTAAACCATCGCTCCGGCGTCCTATTTTTTATGGTGATACACGCTTCCAAGCAAATTAGTTATATACGGAGTATTTGATAACCCAGGGTAACATCTTAAAACCCAAAAAGTTTTGTATAATTATTTTGTAGGGCTTCTAAAAGAAGAAACCCTTTCAAAAATTCTCTAAAGCTTAGGATGAACCTAAGCCAAAGAGGGGGTTTGGAAATAGTTTTCAACCAGCAATAGACGCGCCTCGGTTATTACCTCACTAGCTGCGTCATTGCCCCAAGCGCAAAGATGCTTTCTTCCTGAGGCTGCCTTCTCTTTTTATTTTGCATCGTTCCCCTCCCACCTCTCTAAGCATCCGGTGTGGGACTATTTCTCATAAGTTATTATAACTAATGGGAAACAAAATTTAGATTCCCACGTTATCGTTACGAAACAATCCATCTTATTTATTTCTCACGGTTTATGTTTTCATTACGCATTTAATTCACTGAATTTACATCAAACTGATCTCTATTATTATTATTGTTATTGTTATTGTTATCATCATCATCATACTAAAATTGCTCTACGGAAATGTTTAGAATAGAATAACTGTTCTTAATAATCCATTTTATTAGATCCCATTGTCATGAATGGTTTGCATTTTTTCCCTGTACTTTTCATGGTGAAATTGAAGCCTGGAAGGTGTAATTTTAGGTGTGCGCATTCCACTGGTGTAATATATAGCCTATTTAATATATATTGGGCAATATAATGCAATACAAATATACAATGTGTAAACTAAAAATATATGGAGTAGTGTTTTTTAGTGTCCGTTCTATGTGTATATGTGTACTTGTAACTGTTGAGAAATTCAAGCCTAAATAAAGATTCATTCTCATCAAACATGATAAAGTTTATAGAATTATGAACATATAAGAATTATGTTTTATCTTGTATCAAAGAGAACCCATTTGGCCCTAACCCTTATGTATTATTTAATGTTAAAACATACTCATAATATGTTAATTATACATAAATACATGAGCCAAAGTTGTCATCTGACAAACTTAATGGTAAGACATAAATGTCCCCAATTATATATATATGGGAGAACTCAAATGCAAAGAGGTTTCTCATACAAAATGAAAATAAATCTTATGCATTCATTTCTACATCTAATGGCTTAAAATGAGCCAACAATGTACTCAATTTGATAAGAAACGCGGTGACAATTTTGTAAAAAAACTGAAGTTTTTTGCCACCGCAAAAAGTGCAACAGAAACATGCAATAATGCAACGCGGCGAGAGGAAAAAATGCAACCGTTCTCACTTTCATGGGAGCACCTCTTTTTAATTGAACTCTCCTCTCTCTCTCTACACACACAGACACACACACACACACATATATACACACACACACACATACACACACATATATATATATATATATATATATATTTATACAAATGATCAGGTCTGAACGTTCGGACCAGGGCCTCCGTCTGAACACAACCGCTCGGGGCGGTTCCCAGTCGAGTTTTTTGATGAAATTTTTATGGTATGTTCTTCATCAAGTCTAGTTTATCCAAAAAACAACTGAGCTCAAAATTCGTTCGGGAAGACCTTCGAATGATTTTTTGAAGCTGGTTGCGTTTTTCTATGTATAATTTGGCGCAGTCAACTCCAAAAAAATATACAATGATTAATGAATAACATTCTCACACAATTTTATAAAAACATTCACCCGGAAGCATCTCAATTTGAGGGGGCCGGATGGAGCTCCCATCAGGAAATTCCTGACCAAAATATTTGTGTGTAAATGAAAAACTTGTATATGTATGACAACATAATTATAAATATATCCTCATTTTTTATATTTACTTGTTTCCCCACATTTTGCATCCTATAATGTTTGGAAATCATGTTTCTCGAGGTTTCCCATTTTCCATTGCTCAGTTCGCATTTTTGTGGTACTTAAATAAATAATTTAAATTGTTACTACAAAATGTGAGTAATAGATAATTAAATTATATTTTACTCACCAAACTATTCATTGTTAGACCATTTGTAGTGGAAGGTTTTAGGAGTTCAAAAAGCTAAATGTGGAGCTTTTGGACTTCTATTTGCTTACATTGATGTAGTAAAATGGGGTTTAAAATGGAAAGGGGCGTGGAAGAGTTCAAACATAGAGGAATTTAGACGGTCCAAAAGTATAAGAAAAAAGGGGAAGAAAGGGTTGTGTGTGGCTGCTAGTACGCGGCTGACGTCATGCTAACGTCATATCTGCATAAAAAACACTCTTTCTTAAAAAGACTATATAATTATTTTGTTTATTTTCCATTTTTTTGGAAAAATATATTAAAATTCATAAAATATTTACGATCTTTCATATGACATCAATATTGTGTGTGTGTGTATCAATAGGTGATGATTGGCCCATTAAATTTATATATATATATATATATATATATATATATATATTTAAAAAAATGAAGTTTCTACGGCTAGAGAGTTGTTTAGTCCTAAACAAACACGAAACACAAAATTTTAATTCACATTGTTTCCACAAATAACTGAATATTACATGAACTCGTTTTACTTTTTTTATGAAAAGTGAAAATATTAAAAAAAATTAATGATATTTTTTATTTTTAACATCGAAATGCGTATATATTAATTTTGTAACTCTTCAAAAATAAAATCAAAGAAAATTATTACTTATTATAACTTAATTAATGTTTTATCAAATTGATATGCAAAAAAACTGTAAAGTGTATCTAATTGGCAGTGTTGGAATGCGGGGAAAACATTATTGACAGAGTCTATACACTATTTTCATATCAAGAGATTTCATATTTAAGTTTTTAGATTCCAAACCACTCCAAATGGTCTTACTAGTTATGATAATGGATCCTTTTGATATTTTCTTAGGAACCCACTATGTAAGCTCAAATGCCTTCAAGGAATTCAAGCTCAATGATAACAAATAAAATCTTAGAGCTAGGACGATTTGTAGCATTTATTTGGGCCCATTTATGGCCCATTAAAATGGAAATGCCTTAATTTTCTCCTATCGTATGAATGATCTCTTTTTCTCTTCCCCCATACTCCATCCTCTAGAATCACTCTTATAGCTTCCAAGCTCTACTAATGGCTTCCTATAGCTTTCTTATTGTCCATGTACATGGTGAGGTGATAAGTAGGTGATGATTGGCTTTGATTAGATAAAAAAGTCTTATGACTTTCATCGTTGTGGATTTGAATCATGCACACACAAATAACGTGTTTTTAGTTGCTCTTGTTTATTCTGATGCTTAACCTCAACACTAATAAACATGTGAATACATCATGTGAACATATACATATGTATGAGCAAAGGGTTGGATTAGAACGGTCGACCATGTTGCCCTTTAGTACAATTGGCCCAAAATATGTCATTTTTCAAAAAGTAAGATCTATCGTTCTATCTTGCTAAATAAGAGTTTCTTTTAAATAAAATTTAGGAGGTATAAGATACTCCGATATCTCTAGGCCAAACTAGAAAACTAAAAATTATTGTTTAAATGAAAAAATTGTAAGTCATTGTTTTCATAAAAAGAAATACTTATAAAGTATTTCTCTGGAATTGAATTACAATTATTTGCGGATAGTTATATCACTTTTAATAAGCTTATTGAGAAATTACATTTTTTTGGAAGAAAGTGACTTAGCTTATATTGAATAATCAGAATTCAGACAAGATACAAAAAGACTAAAAGTCTCTTTCCGACCGTTTGCCCTCAAACCAAACTCAGGGCCTATCACCTCCAAACAAGCAATATGACCCGTTGATCATATAATGGACTTAATTGAGCCAATGTCAGATGCAATATAATAGACCTTTTATCACTCAACCTAAACTCTAGAGTTCTGCTAGTGGAAATAAAGAAGACAACTAAAACAACATTCAATACGAACCGGAAAATAAAAACAAGAGCAAGATTATTAAAACAAATCCAAACTTGAAACAACATCTTCCAAATCTTAATCACAAAATTCCTCCAAGGCGGCGGTCGGGAGGGGGACGAACTGACAATACTGCATCTTCTTTCTCTCCTTTCTCTTTATTCATAACATGCTCTACTACTGAGTAATCGAAAGTGTAGGAGAAGTCGCCATGTAGCCAAGTGTCATATTAGTTAGCAATGGACTCCATGATTTCTTCTTTCCGTGTTAAGCAGTTGAAGAAGAACCTGCAAAAAATAAATCTTGAGGGAAAGACCGCACAAACGCTATTGAGAAATTACATTAAAAGTTTTATGATATGCTAAACAAGCAAATAATTTGAAAACATGTTTACCAAGAAAATTGACTTTGTAAATCTATATATTTACTAATAGGATTCAACACGATATTTAGGAGAACAATAGTAGAACCATTGAGTAATGAATGGTTGTAGAGAAAATAGAATTGAGTGTGACAAAGTATAATACTTCATCCGTTCTTTAATAGTTGCAACATTGAGTTTTTTGCACTATTCACACATCTTACCTTGACCAATATTTTATACTAATATATTTAATCAAATTATTATGTATAAAATGTTACTAAATTTCTATTAATGTGAATTTACAAAGTATTAAATTTTTATAATGTTTACTAATACATTATTTTCATATTGGAAATTTCATAGGATATGACTAAAACTCAATGAGTTTCTCAATCTACGACCTAATTAGTTTTTGGACTTTTCTATGACCGTAAATCTAATTTAAATGTTGAATGACCAAAACACCCTTATTTAAAATATGCGCAATTTGCACTAATTTGGTCCTATTAAAATTACTGCTCTTTATATTGTCGTTACTGCACGACATTACTGCACTATATTATTACACATCTAGTAATAATCACTGTGTTTCCGTCAAAATTAATTCTGACGAGATTTGTGCAAAGTAGAGAGAAATGTGCAAAAGCACAAATTAGTTACTTTAAGGGAAAATGAAAACTAATAATCCAACCTTTTAGCGGTCTTCTTACAATAGTCTCACCTTTTGATTATTCATGAATAATCCAACCTTTGTAACTCATCTTCATTCATTGGTCCTTGACCGATTTATGGCATATTATTCCAAGTTATTTTCTTATCTTTGTAAAACATTATACCATAATTCTCACCTTATGATCACATAATGTTTTGCAAAGATAAGAAAATAACTTTGAATAACAGGTCATAAATCGGTTAGGGACTAGTGAATGAAGATAGAGTGCAAAGGTTGGATTATTCATTAATAATGAAAAGATGAGACTATTGTAAGAAAAACGCTAAAAGGTTGGATTATTAGTTTCCATTTTCTCTTACTTTAATAGGAAAGCGACAAAGTTTTTTGAAATAAACAAAAAAAGAAAAATTGACAAAGTTCAATAGGACAGAGGGAAAGTGATTATTAGGAATTTTAATTATATTTTGAATACATGACCTTATGTGACTATTTCAGAATAGTTAAAGTTTCAATAGACAAAAGTAATAAGATTTTAATTTATAGTTTTGTAGGGTTTCTAATAAAAGAAACCCTTCCAAAAATTCTCTAAGGCTTAAGGTGAACCTAAGCCAAAGAGGGGGTTTGGAAATAGTTTTCAACCAGCAATAGACGCGCCTCGGTTATTACCTCACTAGCTGCGTCATTGCCCCAAGCGCAAAGATGCTTTCTTCCTAAGGCTGCCTTCTCTTTTTATTTTGCATCGTTCCCCTCCCACCTCTCTCAGCATCCGGTGTGGGACTATTATTTCTCATAACTTTGGAAAACCAAATTCTGATTCGCACGTTATCCTTGCAATAATAAACTTAAAATAAAACCTCATTCTTACACTTCTATGAATCCGCGATCACTCGATTTTGGCTGAATACAATGGTCATCTTCTCCATGACTCTCATCACGCATGTATATTCACTGAATTTCCATCAAACTAATCTCTTTATCATAACAAGAAGCTCCACAGAGTATATGTTTGCTGCTAAAAAAACCTTTCCAGTGGTAATTTCTTGGTGGCATGGAAGCCAACAGATGTGGAAATTAGGGTTTTCTAAAGCAATTAGATGGTTACTTTTCCCACTCGGTTCTTGGATCATTATGAGTCTTTCGACTGCAGTATCGTTACTGTAATTGTTATTTCTAATCTGTCTCTGGTTGAATACTTCAGTTTGTGACTGAAATTGAAGAATACCTACCTGTTTTTCTTTTTGTACAGTCATATCTTCTTTCATAGAGTCTGTTGCAAAGAAGACTTGTTGCTAAGTTCACAGTATTATGGAAACTGAGCCTCATTAAAACGTTCACCTCCAAAACCTTCCATCCAAACCAACCCTTCCTGTGTTTTCTAGCATTTGGATCTTTATAGATTATGTATATCATTACCTTCGGTTAATTCGTTTTTCATCATTATCATTTTCATTTACCCCAGTGCCGCAAAGGCTCCCACCTACGGTGGGTTAATTGGTTTTCAGATAACTGAAATTCCGGTACAGCTAAACGATTAATTGGAAAACAAAAAAAAACATAAAATCTGTTTTACAAAATAAACATGAACACATTAGGAATAAATTTTTAGAGATAGTGAGTTGTCTAAGAAGAAAATTGAAGAAAGTAGAAGAGAGAAGATAGAAAACTAAGAGCAATCATGTCCTTTCATACATTCTGCATTTTGATACATATAAAATCCTCAAAAAGGAAAAGTAGAGCAAGTAATAAAAAACTTCTACCAAAAGAAACTGGAACAAGTAATGTGTACTCATATAAAGTTAACGACCTCGTGTAATGTTTTTGAAGAACACAGCTATAGTTACATACAACCAATCTCCTACAACATTCCAAAAATTAAAGAATGCTATTCTCCAAGATCTCTTGAGTAACAAAGGACCAACAACTGCCCAGAATCCAAAAATGAACCCGAACGCCATTGATATGGCAAAGTCTTGCATAAAAGACAGGCCATCATCTGTTTCTTCGTTGTTATTGTGGGATGACGGTGCAAGGCTATCTTGAGGGCACAGCAATAGAGGAAGCCCACAAAGCCCAACATTCCCAGCATAAAAAGATGGATCAAAGCCTTGTAGTGTAGGAGTGGGCGGGATTTCTCCAGTCAAATTATTATTGACCAAGACAAGAACTGCCAGAAAATGTAATTGTCCCAAGCCAAGTGGTATTTCACCTGAGAGTTGGTTTCTTGATAGATCAACAGCTTCGAGCATATCCATGTTACCAATGCCTCGAATGATTCTCCCTGTCAAACTATTTCTCGACAGGTTCAAGGAAATTAATCCTTTCAGTCTTGAGAACGATTCGGGTATGCTTCCGATTAGTCGATTGCTCGAAAGATCAATAAGTTTAAGGAGTCCTAGAGTATTTGTGTACATTGACTCTTGTCCTTTCCACTGAACAAATCCATAGTCAATGTAACCTTCAGTAGCTACGATCGGGACATAAATCCTGGTGGTAGTTGTTTTGTTCTTGTCAACCAGTGCAGTAAATCTGTCAAAGCATTCCGGAATCTTTCCTATCAAATTGTTTCTAGAAAGATCCAACACTTGAATCTGAGTGAGGTCACATATTTCTGGAGGAATACCACCGTAAAATCTGTTTTGACGCAGGCTTAGAAATGCCAAGTCTGTATACTTTTCCCCCAACCATGGTGGAATTGCTCCTGTTAATTTGTTCCCCCCAATGTCAATCTGTTGCAGAAGTGGACATCCCTGCAGAGTCGAAGGTAACTCCCCGAAGAAGCCATTTGCACGCAAGTGTAACGTTTTAAGCTTTGATAGAGAGCCCAGAGAGTGTATTTCACCAGAAAGGTTGTTGTAATTCACATTGAGAATCTCCAACGCGTTCATGTTCCTAAAGTCGCTGGGGAGCGTTCCTGTCAACTGGTTATTAGAGAGGTCAAGCCATGAAATCCTGCAATAGGCATACCGGCATAAGGACGCAATGGTCCCGGAAAACATATTTTGGGAGAGTTGAAAAATCCAAATGAGCGGACCAATTGATGGTACAGTCCCTGATAAGTTATTATTACTAGCATCAACAATCCTGATGGAAGTGGACGACAGATCCGGGATTGTGCCAGTAATCTGATTATGGGACAGGTTCAAGGATCTCAGAGACATATTCCATAGCCATTGAGGCGCTTCATCAGATATACCAGCATTAGAAATGTCCAGATTATCAACATACCCCCTTTGTGTCTGAAGCCATTCAGGGAAAGAAGGGCCGATTTTGCAGTTTGCTAAGTCTATAACACTCAACTTGAAAGACGGGATCCAGTTTTTGCTGAACTCCAACTTCAATCTATTAAATGATAAATATAGGTATCTTAAGCTGCTAAGGCCAATGAAGTAGGTTTCCGAGACTGTTCCTTGTAATGAATTATGCGAAACATCAAGGTATTGAAGCTTGGAAAGACCGACGGTGGGAGTCCCTATGGTTGTGAGTTTATTGTTGTTGAGGAACAACTGCGTCAATGCCGGAAACTTCCTTATGTTTAGCACTGACCCTGTGAAGTTATTATGCGATAAATGTAAAAAATACAGTGATGCCATCAGTTTGCTGCAGGCTGGAGCGAATAATTCCTCAAGAGGTCCCCCCATGGCATTATGGGACAGGTCCAAGTCTACCAAACTTAAGTTCCCTAGAGACTTTGGGATCCGTCCTTCAAACATGTTGTCACGGAGATCAAGAGTCTCTAGAAAAACCAGCTTCTCGAACGCATCTGGGATTGGACCACTAAACTGATTTCCTGACAGGTCTATATGAGCAAGACTTGCACTTGTGTTTAAGAACAACCATTGTAATGTGGTGGAAGAAGTGAGGTTGTTTGATGAGAGATTAATGGAAGAAATCAATGATGAGGTCGAAGAGTTGACATGGGAGAGACCTCGGTCGAATGTGAAGTCTGTGATCCCACAACTTGCCATGGACAATGTATGAAGAGAGGGAAGGCTTAGCACATGGTGTAGCCAAAGCCAGTTGGCATCTTCGCTTGTGTTCATGTGATCCAAATTAAGATGAGACAACGATGATAGATGAGAAAGCCAATACAGGTTTCCCGACCGAATGCCAGGGTTGCCTCCAAGGTCGAGTGTGTGCAACTGCGTAAGGTTCCCTAGTTGAGGAGGAACCACCCCAGAAAAGTTGGAATAACTGAGATCCAACAGTTGTAAGGCTGCAATGGAGCCGATGAATTCGGGAATTCTAGTCCCTCCAAAATCATTGGAACGCAGATCTAAATGATTCAAATGATGCAATTCGAGCAAGGCAGAACTAATCATGCCTCCCAATTTGTAGCTATAATAATCGTCTTCCGTTAGAAACCTGTAACCACCCCCAAGTTGGAGGGCAGTCACTTGACCTGTGATGTTGTCACACACAACGTGCTCCCATTGGCAACATTCCCTTTTGTCGCCCTCACTTCCCCACGTTGACAACATACTGCCATCCTTATCTGTGAAGCCTTCCTTCAACTTTAGAAGTGCCTCCCTCTCCCGCTCTATGCACCTCGTTTCTCCTGATACAGACTTTAAGTAACATGTGATCACGCATGCAGAAATAAGAACAAACAGCCATGTAGGAAACCCCATCTTTTCTCTTTTAGAAATAAGAACAAGCAGCCTGGGAGGAAGAACCATCTTAATGTTACAGATGAAAATAAGGTAATTGCGTAATATGTTTGGCAATCGATTCCACTCAGGACTTGGTACTTGGTAGCTAGTGCATGTTTGTGGAAAAGGTCAAAGTCAACCTTGATGACTTGTCTACGCCTCACCTATTTTCCTACTCCTTGATGGACACCTCCACAACAGGGCGTCTTTAGGACTATGGAGGTCCTAGACGAAAATATATTTTAGGACTATGGAGCTCTTAGATGAAAATATATTTAAAGAGTGTTTGTGTTTGCTTCTATTTTAGAAATGTTTTTTTAAAATGATTTTAGAAAAAATGCTCAATACTAAAAGCTGATAATATTTGAAAAACAATGTTTTTTGAAAAATAAAAGTTAGTAGTGTCTATGTTTAAAGAACCGGACCAGACTCGGAACCGAAGGAACCCAGTTTTTTTTCAAAAACCCGGATAATGGGATAAAATGGTGAATGCAGGATTCGAGCTTGCATCGTTGGGAGGAGTTTCGGCTTCCATTCCACTCAACCAGCTTCACTTGTTGGTAAAATACGTAGCTACGGAGTATATATTAAGCATTAACTATTACTCCCTCCGTCCTAATTTGATGCTCTCATTTCTTTTGGGCACACGTTTTAATAAAGTGGTTGAAAAGGTAAAAGTTGTGATTGAGATTTGAGTATAATAAAGTGAAATGATATGGATCATATATTTCTTTCAAAAAAGGGAAACAGGACCATCATTTTGGGCCCCGGGTAGAACCGGCCCGCACCCAGAACTGAAGAAACCCAATTTTTTTCAAAAACCCGGATAATGGGATAAAATGATGAATGCAGGATTCGAGCTTGCATAGCTGGGGAGGAGTTTCGGCTTCCATTCCACTCAACAAGCTTCACTTGTTGGTAAAATACGTAGCTACGGAGTATATATAAAGCATTAACTATTACTCCCTTCATCCCAATTTGATGGTCTCATTTCTTTTGGGCACATTTTTTAATAAAGTGATTGAAAAGGTAAAAGTTGTGATTGAAATTTGAATATAATAAAGTGAAATGATATGGACCACATATTTCTTTCCAAAAAGGGAAACAGGACCATCATTTTGGGACATCCCAAAAAGAAAATACAGGACCATCATTTTGGGATAATTTTGGGACGGAGGTAGTAGTTAACTAAACAATTCATAATAACAATAATAAGGCATATACACTCATGCTTATATGATACTTCCCATTATGTATGCTCCGTATTATATTTCATATTTCAATTATATGTGAAAATATATATCTATTATATTTTTAATATTTTATAATTGATGTCATATCTATATATTTTATCCATCTACAACCAAATCTATTTTAATTTTTTAAAACTAACTCTAACATAATGATTTCTTAATTGAATTATATTGTATCATCATTATTAATTTATGAAGGAATAACATTTTCTACCTATAAAATTTAATATTATATATGTATACATACATACATACATATATATATGTGTGTGTGTGTGTGTGTAAATATTAAATATTATATGTGTGTGTGTTGACCGGGTTTTCCAGGCATTGACCGGGCTGACCCGCCGGGTCCAGATTGACCCTTGACCCGGCCATCGCTCCGGTTCGCTCTCCGGTCCGGTTTTACAACATAGAGTAGTGTTTGATAAAAATGTTTTTTGTATAATAGAAAAAGTGAAGAGCCGTTTAAAGCACTTTTCCACCTACTGTCAGTTTTTAGTTTTTAAATTCTTAATTCAAGCAGAAACCGCCACTTGAAAACACTCATTTTAGATTTTAAATGCAAAAGGTGGAAAGTACATTTTATAAATTTTCCAAGCACTCCCTTAATATTGATATATCATATTATCATATTCATGTAATTTATAACACCAAAGCATACAAAAATTAATATCAGATAAATTTAGAGGCCGTTTGGCAACCCTCATATTCGGCTTATCAGGCTTATCAGCCAACTTTTTTACCAAACACGTAAATTTTGCTTTCGCGCGTTGAATTGTGTAATAAGCCGAAAAAGTGAGGTTGGAGTTACTTTTCTGGCTGTATTGGCTGAAGTTACTGTAGATGACCATTTTAGCTATTTTTACATATAATTTTTTCTTTATTTTAATAATAAAATATATTTTAAAAATATTTTTTTCTTGTATCAGCAGAATCAGCCAATGCAACCACTTCAGCCAGAAATTCATAAATTTCAGCAGAATCAGCCAGAACAGCCGATTATCATGTTGCCAAACGGTCTCTTAGTAAAAACACACACAAATGTGATGACCAGATTTGGTTGTAGTTATGTTATTATGAATTATGCACTTAAAGTAAGAAGAATAAGACATAAAAATTATAAATTTAGTGCGTGCGCACGTTTGCAATTAAGAAAAGATCTTTTGATGTCAAGTACGTATCAATATATATACCAATAAGGTAAAAATAGAATAATTGAATAAATTAAAATTGACCCATACCTAATTATAACTCGTAGCTTGACTAATAAAATTTTAACTTTTATAGTTTTATTTAAAATTATAGACTACATATATGCATCAAATGTATGTATAAAGTCCTTACTGGTTCGGTGGTTCAATGGATTGATTTTATTTGGAAATTCAAATTTAATTACACATATACCAAGTATAATACTTAAGGTTTTGTTTAATTTGAAGGCCCCCCCTAAAACTTAGGGCCCTAGACATTTGTCTAGGACAAATGGCCCCATGGTCGGCCTTGCTCCACAATCATCATTATTACTATCGAATACAAAGGATCTCATCCATTATTCTCCGGTCAACATAAAACCTTCCATCCATGGTCCTCCATCCCACTAATCTCTGTCAACTTTCCTTTATATTTGTCCCAAAAAAACTTTGCCAATTTTTTTAAAATAATGAATTTGTGATTCTATTCATTTCTCATCAACAACACATTTTTTATTATTCTAATTTCTCATCTAACATCAACTTGGCAAAGTTGAGTGTGACAGTGTTAGAATATTCAACTTTTTATCAAATTTGAGTTTTTCGTTGCGATTTTATAAAAAAATTAATGTAATTTCTGAATATGTATATATTTTAACTAAAAAGTCTTATTATGGATAAGGATTAGTTTATTTTATAGTCAGTCAAACATTGTAAATCATGTGGAAGCCTCTCTATGGGACGGAGAGAGTAGTTTATTACTATTATTTTATTTTATTTTATTTTATTTATACATAACAATTTGACAAATATGTTCCTGAATTATGCCGCGTCTTTAGAAAATGTGTATAAAATGAATGTTAAATGACTTTTATACTTGTAGTATTGTAAACAAATATTTTACCTACCGTTACGCTTTGCTACTCCAATCACTTCCCACTACCAAAAGGAAACAAGGGGTAGACTCATCTTTTGAAAGAAATCAAATATGAGCATTCAAATATCTCTATCATCTAAGATAGTGTTATTACTTACCTTATAGTGGGGGCAGCCACCAAGGATAGGATTACCATTAGGGTGAGTGAAGACCACATCCATTCACCGTGGTGATCAGTGATTGACTACATGTGACAAAGTAATGATTTTTTGTTGTTTTAAGAACCTTTCTCACAACCTTCTAGCATAAGAATTGGAAGTCATGCTCCATTCATATCATAATGATACGTACCCAGAAATTTGACGGTAAACGGAAGTATATTAGATGAAATTAATAGACTGAAAAAAAAAAGACACAGTGAGACACTTCGAGCAGTCCCCTCTCCCAAGCCAAAGCCTATCCCAATTTCTGTGTGCCAATTCTACTCCCCTAACTCCTATTTATTCTTTTCCATATGGGCCAGCCCAGTTCTATTAAATTCAGGGCCTAAAACCCTTTTATTCTATAATATGAAAAGACCACCATTATTCTTATTTTTAGTACTATCTAGGTCTCTATCATTACTCCCCCCCCCCCTTTGACAACCACCTTGTCATCAAGGTGTGGAGTAACTGAGCAAGAAACAACCATGCCAGTATGCTTTATCCTTGCTCCTCTGCCTTCCCAGTACTTCAGCTCAACTAGTTTTCTTCGTTTTGGTGTCCACTTGATCTCTTTGCCAACGTAGTGATCCTTTTGGCCAGAGTTGTTATCTCCTTTACTACTCCATGTCTGATCTCTTACAGACTCTCTAGTTGAGAATACAAAATCAGCTTCGGGAATGTAAGTCTCGGTCTTCACCTCCTTCCTCTTTGTTCTTCCACTCCATCCAAATAAATCTTTCATCTCAATTTGAGCCTCAACACTTTGGAGGATTATCCCTCCAGGCTGCTTGTGTGGTTGTGTCAGCATTTGTCCATTATAAAAGTAAAATTTGAGAAACCAAAAGCTGGATGAAATCAAGATCCGTTTTGATTGCCTCTAAAACTTTTAAAGCAGAAAGGCTGACAGGAGGGCCTGTTGCCTTGACAACAGCCCATAGTATTCCAAGCACTTGATGCAGAGTTTCATCAGATGTATACTCACATAAGTTTGTGATTGATGCAATTAAGTCCTTGATATGTGGCCCAGTGATATCCGAGTTTGCAACAATTAAAAATCCCACCCAATGCTGAGGTTTGTTCATGCATTCCCCTTTTGCCTTCCATCCCCTCTTGTCTTCATCTCTATACCTTACTCTTCTTATCAAAGAGCCAATAGCTCGTGCAAGATCTGATGGTGCAACTGACGTCAACTCCGGGATCAGCGTAGGCAACTGAGTGTCCGGTGATCCATTTTCTGATTCATAGTGGTCCCAATAGCTGTGAACTTTTGAACACGAGGATACCTTGGCACGAACAACCCTCAATTTTTGAACCCGTATACAAACTACTGGCAATCTCCTTACATAATCACCACTAATTAAGGCATCTGGGATGATAGCAGGATTGAGTTTATTTTCAAGCATCATAAACCTCCAAACATCATTGGTACGCATTCGTGTTTGAGACAGGCCCTCCTCATCAGCCCCTGTAGTTTTGTTGATCAGTTCCAAGGCCGCCTCAGTGTGGTCTGTACGATTTCCTTCCTGACTATAAGGAATATCAAGTTTGAGCGGTGTTGAATCTTCAGAGGGAGGCTGTCGTTGATTAACAGACTTATGCTGCGAACCAAGAGAATCAGATGCCCACAAAACCTGCGAACTCTGAAAAACAGCGTGAGTCAGAGTCTGCAATGATGAAGAAGGCGAAAGGTGAGAATCGACTGACGAAGATTATAGGGATTCTCCTCTCGATTGCGTCTTACTTGGACGCGAACTGATAGCTGATGAAGATGCATGTGGACTGAGAAACGTCATGCGTTGAGCCCTACCAACTCAATCATGTGAACTGGTAGACACTGTACGCAATTGCAAACTGTGAGATGAAGTTCTTGAAGAAGCTAGATAACTGGACGGAGGTGCTCGCGACTGAGAAGAGACATGCGCACGCGACGAGTTCTGCGAACTAGGTAAAACCGTTCGCGATTGCGAACTATGAAGAGCTACAGTCGAAGAAACCTGATTTTCAGGTGGCCGACGACGTCTAGGAGGACTCCTCGCTCGGCCTCTAATTCTCCTGCGACGCTGTTTACGCAAATGATGTATCATCTCGTCCATCTTCATCTAGGTGCTATTCTCCAAATTTGTGCGCAAACCAGAAGTGCGATTCTCCATTTTTTTGTTGCGTGAATGTCAATTGAAGCTTCCCAGGGCCTATTGCTTTGATACCAATGATAGGACCTATTGCTTTGATACCAATGAAATTAATAGACTGAAAAAGAAAGATACAGTGAGAGTGTGAGACACTTCGAGCAATCCTCTCTCCCAAGGCAAAGCCTATCCCAATTTCTGCCTGCCAATTCTACTCCCCTCACTCCTATTTATTCTTTTCCATATGGGCCAGCCCAGTTCTATTAAATTCAGGGCCTAAAACCCTTTTATTCTACAATATTAAAAGACCACCATTATTCTTATTTTTAGTACTATCTAGGTCTCTATCACATAACTATTATTTCTATTATTTCTGTTCGTTTAATCTACAAACTGGATGCACTTCAAACGTGCTATAATCAATACAATTGAATTTACTATCTTCATATTGATACACAATACACTTGTACACAAAAAAATGTGGAGTATACGCTTGTACAGTAATACGCTCAAACAATGTAGAGGGAATATACTAAGCCTGGGGAGAATTTAATGGCAACTAGTTAACACATTGATACAACACCTTGCGATTCCCCAAGAACTATGCTATCCTTTCCATCATAGTAGTCCCAATTCCTTCTTCAACTGAGCTAGAGCTTCTTCAATCTCATCCAAATTTTCCTCAATGTTACTTCTTTTTTCAGTCGCTTTATGTTCTGTGCCACTTGCCAGTCCATCTACACTAGAAGATCCATTATTTTGAGTCGCTTTTCCCCTGAGACTCTCCCCTTCTGCCTCAGCATCAGTTATGTTAAGTTCCTTCTCTAAAAACTCAATGAATTCTTCACCGATTTCCTGTCAAGTACCAACCAATGAACAAAGAAATGTAACATATAATATCCTTCCACTTTTTGATGGACTCAGAAAAGTTACAGGAAAAAAATATCAAGGCAAAAAGTTTTTAAATGTTCGAGTTTTCCTTAGAAAATTCTGAAAACAATAAATTTGTCAAGGGGATGTTTCTCTGTTCTTCTTAATGGGATTAACTGGTAGTGACACAATTATCCAGCCATCAAGTTGTTTTGCTTACGACTTCACTGAAAATATGCTTTTTTCATTCAGTTACACTGTTTAAACCATTAAGCCCTAAGATATTTTCCATTTCCTAATCAAGCCCTAATATATTAGGCATTCCCTTATTAAGAAAATACATATTATGGAATCGATATTCATAGAGACTTTGGTTCAACAAATTTTTTCAAACTCATTATGAAATAAATGATGGTTAATAACTGGCATTACACATTATGAAATAAATGATGGTTAATTACTTATTGACACATTGACAAGACAACTCAAAAATTACCTTAAAGGCTTAAATTGGTGATTTTATCCATTTAGATTGTTTAATCGACACACAAAATACACAGTCTCTTGCATAAAGATGATTTAATCTAGACAGACATCTTAATACAATTAGGACTTATAGAAAAAATATTTTCCATATATATTAGAATTCACGTATCAGAAATATTAAAGAAAATGAGTTCAAACATCTGCAAATATAGATTAAATTGAGTTTGATGCTATTCTTTATTTGTTCTCACGTTTTATTTCCTTCAAATATTCCTACTGTAATACTTGAGATTTAATTTAAATGGATTAATAGTACTACTCATACCAACAAGGTGCATCTCCTTTTAAGGGAGCTCATTAGCCAAGAACTCCAAAGTTAAGCGTGCTTGCACGGGAGTAGTCTTGGGATGGGTGACCCCCTGGGAAGTTTCTCAGGGCGCGCACGAGTGAGGACAAAGTGCGCGGAAAAGGCTAGTGGCGGTTTGTGAGGACAGTACTAGAGGTCAGAAGTAACTACCACGGGGCCTACGGGGCCGGGGTGTTACACCTACAGTTTTACTCCCTATTTTAATTCCTAGCATTTCAGGAGGTCTAAGTTGTCACATTTCAAGATCTTCCCTTGTTTCTAGATGTATACTGTGGGAATATTTGATTCACTCACCGCCACTTCCTCCCACAAACTTTTCATCTTCCCTTGTGAGGCTAAATTTGCTTCCCAATTTCGGAATTCTTCTTGAACATCCTTAAAGAAGTCCTCTGCAACAAAATAAGCAAGTTTAAGCCTCACAGTGTGACGTCAACCGGTAAAATAGAGGTTCACAAGTGCCCTAATATTAGTGGAAGATTAAGCTTGTAAATAACTGATCCTTGTGATCTGCAGAATCTACCTAATGTAATTTGTACATCCCTGAAAAAATCACCTGCAGGATGAAGGGGGGTAAAGAATAAGAATGAAATTTTAAAGATTTTTTATTTTATTTTATAAAGACCAATTCCTAATAGAGTATATATTGATATAATGCTAAACACCTTTTTATACTTTATAGATTCTAAGATTCTCAGTGTACAGATCATTGTTTGCGTTAGCCAGACGTACAATAACAATTGATAATGTGGTTAATTTGTTATTTGAAAAAAGATAATTACAGTTTAGATGAATAGACATCTCACCAAATCCATAAAAATCTTCATCTTTTGTTGCTCTGCTTTGGCTACCCGAAGTTGTGTCATAAGAATCATTAGATGAGCCACTTCCAGAACCATACTTCTTTCTTGCCTTGGAGTTTAACACTGTGTTGTAGGCATGCTTAATCCTCATAAACTTTTCCTTTGCATTGGGCTGAAGTGCCAAAGCATAAAGTGTTGGCATAATTAGGTGTGGGGGTGTTTTAACATACTGAAAATAATTTCGCTGAACAATTCAATTTAAGTCTCTTTTACATGCAAACAAAATCAATGTCAAACACTATTGAACTAATGAATTTCCACACATCCAAAGAACAAATTATAATGATTATCAACAATGAAAATTATAATCACTTTCCCCCAAACACCCTCAGAACAAGTGAGCATTTGCGAAGCGCTATTCTAATTAAGCAGGTATAGCCCAACTGATATTCCCATCCAATCAACTCACCCACCATTCTTAAGATTGCCATAGAACAAAAAAACTGTTTAGCAATTCCAAGCTCACCAAATTAAGAGGTGCTACCAAAACTTAGACAAATTCCAGCTGATATAACATAATCGCACACCCTTTGGACCTTTCTCTTCGTTTTTTAAAAGAAGAATATCATGCATATTCAAAATACAGATATTCGGAATGATTACCTCTTTATTGACATCAGGATGATATTTAAGAGCTAGTTTCCTATAAGCTTTCTTAATTTCATATTGAGTTGCAGCAGGTGAGACGCCCAAGACCTCGTAAGGAGTCTCTCCTGTGCGGCTGGCCTTCACGGCGGTCAACCTCTTCTTGTGGCAGGCATTTTGGTGAGAAGAAATAGAAGACAAGGAGATAGGTTTCTGTAACAGAGGGTTGAAAACGGGTCGATACCCGAATCTGAAAACGGGTGAAGGTGGGAACTTGTGTTGGGTGTGAAGTACTGAACTGGCGGTGCAAAAAGGTAGATCTGGGTCGGGTTTAAAGATGCGAAATCCATTCATCTTCTGGTCGATTTCTAACTCGTGCGGTTCTTTTTATCCTTGGAGTAATGTGTCTCACAAAGTCACGCCTAGAAGTTCATGCCCCACAATTGGGCACACTTGCCTAATTGATTGAATCGAGTAGCTAACACTGAAATCTAACATTCAAATCGATTGAATCAAGTCATTCTCATCAAATTTATGATATTCTGACCGAAATGTTTATATTGACCGATTCTGTTGAGTTTATTTACTGCAACCCGGAAGTCCAAAATGTTGACCTCTTCCGGGAGGGTTTCATAGCATGTTGATGATAACAAAATATAAACAATGATTTTTACGTGGAAACCCGGAAAGGGATAAAATCACGGGACTGTTTAGGGTAATGTTCAAGTCACTATCATTCTCATTAGGCTCTCCTCTAATAGTACAAGTCTGAAGCTTCCATTAATGGAAGTTGCCAGCTACTATTCTAGAGAGATGGGAAGGAAGTGGGGAAGAAGAGACCAACCAAAAAATATCCTTCATAAGGAGGAAAAACCCCATATTTATAGGGGAATGGGGAGGGGGTGCAAACCTACCCTAATGGGCCGAACTTGACCTGATAGGCTGAAATGGCCCCCGTCGATTGAGCTCCGTACTGGGGCAATGCATTGAGTTCCTGTACAGTAACAGACCGGGATAATATACCTCAACACAAGTCCCCCAGTTTCTTGAGTAGTGAACGTGTGAATCTGCTCGAGAAAGTATACTTGTCATGCCCCGGACCGCATCCGGGCCACGTAGACAACCGACGTACAACCCGATAAGAACAACAACGGTTCATCCCTATTGAATTGTACAAGGCGTCCGATTGAGTCTATTGCCAAACCGATTAGTAAACACATACAATCAACATCAATATCATAATCAACAAATGCGGAAATAATAATATGTTTAATACTTAGCCACACGTGGCAAACACGGGCACGCAGACCCCCAACTGTTTTAAAGAAAACATTGTTCAAAAATCCATGAGCAGTTTACAAATTTGAAATAAGAATGAAAGTACGAACCACGTCTTCCTTCGTGATCAATCACCCTAGGCAAAGGTGCAGGTAGTAGAACTCTAGCCTTAACCTGAAAAATGTGAGGGCCCCCCGGAGGGGTCAGTACTCCATAGAAGTACTAGTGACAAGCAGGCTATATGAAGAATAACTAATGTTTCAGACACGAGACCCAAAAATAGGGTGATACATATATATAGATGTCTCTCATCCACCCGATGATACATACTGTATATATACTCGTAAAATACTCAACCTGTAGGTCATTTACCTTAAAGAGTGTTTTAGAGATAAAGTTCTTACCTGACTTTTCTCACTCCTTTCCCGGTTGCCTAGCTCACAAGCTATAGTCTACCTTCGATTCATACTACCGAGTGTTTTAGGATCATTTACCGTCCAAGGCACTCAACCCAACCTGGAGTATTTAGGATCATTTAACGTCCAAGGTTACTCGGCCCCACCTGGAGTATTCTGGATCATTTACCGTCCAAGGGTACTCGACCCCACTTGGAGTATTCTGGATCATTACCGTCCAAGGGTACTCGACCCCACCTGGAGTATTCTGGATCATTTACCGTCCAAGGGTACTCGATCCCACCTGGAGTATTCTGGATCATGTACCGTCCAAGGGTACCCGACCCCACCTGGAGTATTCTGGATCATCTACCGTCCAAGGGTACCCGACCCCACCTGGAGTATTCTGGATCATTTACCGTCCAAGGGTACTCAATCCCCAGTCTATCCTCTACCAAATCCTAACCTGGATGTGGCTAACCTTTGATTCCTTTAACTATGGACAATGCCTAGCCCTATAGTCATATAACAATCCTTAGGAACCAACGTGGGCGGGTCCCACCTGAACGGCCCACGTTAACCTACTCAAAACTGCCCGTTTTGAGCATAAACCAATACTCGATCGAGTATCTACCCATACTCGGTCGAGTACAGGAGACAGTAGCCCACAAAGCTAATTTTCAACGTATACTCGATCGAGTATCTACCCATACTCGATCGGGTATAGGAGGCAGTAGCCCCCCTGGGCAATTCTTCAGCAAATACCCGGTCGGGTACGTGTCAATACCCGATCGGGTATGGCAGTTGACTTGGCGGTCAATGCCCGTTTGACCACCCAAACGGAGTCCGATTAATGTAAAATTTTATACACATGTACTTCTTGACGTCCTTGATCCAAAAATGCCATTTTGGATCCCTGTAACATCACACATAATAAGTTATCACATTTTTATCACCAAACCTACATAACATGCTTTTCAACTATGTTTTATGAATAATCATGGCATAAGCAAACACTTGGTTTTCTTTAATCATTCCATAAAACATATCCTTGATTACTTTAAGTAATATCATTCCTCACGCAAAAGTTATAAAGCATAAAGTCGTCTTCTCACCTTAATGAAGCTTATGAAGTTCTAGCTTTCCCGATTTAGCTCCGATGAAACTCCGGCAAACTTCATTGAACCCCGGCGACAACTCCGGCGACCCTTTCAACTCCGTGAAAGTTACTTGAATACCTTAGACAAGTTACTAACAAGGTTTTATCATCATAAAACCCATAGTAATACAAATAACCTCCAAAGGTTATTTTCCGGTGAACCGGTCACTTTGGCTTCTAAGTCCGTTCTTGGACCTAGAACTACCTTCCAACCCCTCATTCTACACTTCCAAACGTGTAGAACAATCCTATGGTGTGGAATATGATTGTATAATCATATAAAATGATTGAAGAACAAGAAATGAGATTAGTGGAGTCATTTCCTTCCTAACTTCCCCTTTTTCTTCCCTTTTTCCTTCCATCTTCCTCCCTTGTTCTTGGTGCGTGTATGGATGGTAACAATGGAGTTTTGCAGACCTTATCTCTCTTCTTTGAGTGGGTTGGCCGAGCTATAGGAGTTGGGGTGATTGAGAATGCCTTTTTGGTATTTCTCATAATAATATCTTGGCCAAGGACCCACCCTCATGTTGATTGGTCTCCCAATCAATTTCCTTCTTGCTTCCCCCTGATCTTGTGCGACTCCTCTGGCCATTTGCAGGACTAAAAACGTGGGTTGGCCCCCACTTATGTGGGAGGTCAACCCTTTGTGTACCCGAGTGTACAATCGGTCCCGAAAGTTGTATTTTCCGGACTGTTTGAATTCTATTTTTATTTTATCGGGTCAAATAAAATATAACACTTGTTCTCAATCCTTATTGGACCTTAGAATGAATATGCATTCCCCAACTTTAATTTAGAAGTCTCCGAAATCCCTTTTTGGGCTGTTATCTGATAAATTGCCGATACTGATAATTTGGCCCCGTTTGACCAACCGGTCAACCCTATGCCATTGCTATGGCCCAATTAGGATATCCACCACCACATACATATTATCTAGTCCAAGATTAATATAATATGTGGTCCCGATAATATCGGGCGGCCCCACTTCCGGTGTGGGCCCCATGTGAATTTTACTATTCACGTAAAAGAAATGATAAAAATTTACAATTACGTAAAAATGCTTTTATTCACTTCTCAGGGTTCAATACATAATTTGGTACAGTACAAATACTCGGGGGCGGTGTTACAGTACTCCTGCCCGCGCTCTTCCTTGTCTTCTTCGAACCTTTGTCTTCAAGCGGTCTGGCTAGATGTGTGGGTATTTGCCCGTTTGTACATAATCTGCCGGTAAGGCGCTCCCCCTCCCGACTGGGTCGGCCAAGCTAAGGGACGCTCTTCTCCGGGCCCTCTCCCGACTGCTGGTATGGCACCGTACTAGGGGGTCGGTTGCTATATAAAGGTGTCGGCGCTGGGGTCGATCTGAAAGAATCAATCAGCAGTTCTCACCCGCAAGGAGCGGGGACGAGGCCGGTCTTCAAATATGATAGTGGCACTGTACCAGGGGTCGGTTGCCACGAAATGATGTCGGTAGTGAGGCTGATCTCTGAGAATCAATCAACGGTCCTCATCCATGAGGAGCGGGGGCGAGGCTGGTCTACAAATATGATGATGGCACCGTACCAGGGGTCGGTGGCCATATATGATGATGTTGTAACTGAGGCCGATCTCTGAGAATCAATCAATAGTCCTCATCCGCGAGAAGCGATGTAATACTTGAGATTTAATTTAAACGGATTAATAGTACTACTCATACCAACAGAGGTGCATCTCCTTTTAAGGGAGCTCATCACCCAAGAACTCCAAAGTTAAGCGTGCTTGCACGAGAGTAGTCTTGGGATGGGTGACCCCCTGGGAAGTTTCTCAGGGCGCGCATGAGTGAGGACAAAGTGCGCGGTAAAGGCTCGTGGTGGTTTGTGAGGACAATACTATTGGTCTAGAGTAGCTACCTCGGGTCCTGCAAGACCGGGGTGTTACAAATGGTATCAGAGCAACCCTGCGACGGTGTGCTGATCCGTTGGATATCGGGCGGACACTTAGTAGGGGAAAAGATTGTGGGATATGATTGAGATTGGTGTTTGGGCGCAACATGGACGTTGCGTTCCTAAGTGGAGGTGATTGTAATACTTGAGATTTAATTTAAACGGATTAATAGTACTACTCATACCAACAGAGGTGCATCTCCTTTTAAGGGAGCTCATCACCCAAGAACTCCAAAGTTAAGCGTGCTTGCACGAGAGTAGTCTTGGGATGGGTGACCCCCTGGGAAGTTTCTCAGGGCGCGCATGAGTGAGGACAAAGTGCACGGTAAAGGCTCGTGGTGGTTTGTGAGGACAGTACTATTGGTCTAAAGTAGCTACCTCGGGTCCAGCGAGGCCGGGGTGTTACAAATGGTATCAGAGCAACCCTGCGACGGTGTGCTGATGCGGTACTTTATCCCATAATTTGATGCACAAGCGGACGAGGCCGTAGACGAATAGGGGACCCCGTAGCCTTTTTCGCCATGGTGGACGAGGCCGGTCTTCAAATATGATGATGGCACCGTACCAGGGGTCGGTGGCCATATCATGATGTCAGCACTGGGGGCAATATGAAAGAATCGATCAACGGTCCTCGTCTGTGAGGAGCAGGGACAAGGCCGGTCCTCAAATATGATGATGGCAC